GTCCACACTAGGCATCTTTGTCTTTAGTTATACTTTAAATGACAGACAATATTTTGTATGTAAATATGTTGAATATTTAACTTTTGTATTTGTTTGGAGCCAATTTGGTCTATGTAACATTTAAGCTTTTCCATTTTAATCTGTTAGGAAAAAAACTTTATTCCCTAACTATTGTTGTAAGGAAAATCAGTCATATGAAATTCCTCCTTGCTGCACCCCAGAAGTCCACCAAAATCGACCTCCGACATTTGGACTCGCAGTTGGTCAGAGTTTTGGTGGCTGCATTGTGTCGTGGAATCATGCCCACAAAGGGAGATTCTTGTTTGGAAGTTGGGATAATGAGGAGAAAGAATACTTTGAAAAGGATAAACAGGACCACCACTAAAGGGAGACACATTCAAAATGTAGCTGGCTGGATATGCACGGACACAAATCTTGCACACAATATGGTGCACTCTACGGGTTGTGGGGCAGCCACATGAATCAAATACACTTTTGAGATTCCCCAAGCTATTCTGTGTGCTAGAATTCTTGCAAGATCACTTTTCCTAGTTTCCCCTCAAACACCAGGTACATGATGGAGGGTAGCATGCTACCACCTGCAGTTTCTCAACTGACTCGTCTGCTAGGCAACAATATATACACATACACAGATCCTTATATGGCAGATGCAATAGCTTCCAAACATTTACATTAATCTGTAAACAGCATTTACATGATACAATTTTATACAGATTTATAGTGAATTTGCAACTGAGCATAAAGGCACTAGTGATATAATGTGACAATCTCTAGAAGTAGGAATGTTTAGCTTAGTCACACAAGGCCCCTTTATATATTTGTATAATTTAATATCCCTGGGTGGGCAGTGCTGAGAAATATGTACATCAGCAAAAATTATTTAAAAAAAGACAAGATAATAACATACATCAATTTCCCAAATGAGTTGAAATAAAAAGGGAGAAAAAAAAGAAACTTTACTGATTGGGCAGTATTGTTTCATCCTGTCGGATTGAATTGTATTATCAAAAATTCCATAATGACCTTGTTTTTGAATATACTCTCTGGACAAATTATGGACATGCCAGCCAATTCTGATGGCTGGATAAGGTGGTTAGTATTTCCAACACCAGCTCATTATTCCAATCACAGCAAATCCAAAGATCACCTGACTGCCATTAACAGGGTCAATTTAAACATTTTGTTGGTCAATATGTTGTTTATAACACCAGGACATACAATTTTGCATGTACACATATCGCAAAATGAATACTACCAGAAGAAATACGTTCCCTTTCCCTATGACTAATATTTTTTATTTTGTTAGAGATGAAACATTTAAGGGCTTGTGAGGTTATCTATGGCCACATGCCTACAAGTCCTGCCAGAGATTCGTTAGCAAGCAGCTAGGCTTTAATTCAGGTCTACAAGCCTATTCAGGTTCTATTCTATAAGCATTTGTCCACTTGAATAAATTAGGAACATATCTGTAATATCATACTATTTTTTTATGTAATGTTACACATTGTATTGTGGAATTAGGCTTGTATGTCAAAGCTTCAATTTTAAGAAAGTCAAAATTGCTTTTACTACCACGGTTTACTTTTGTATATTAGCCCATTTTTCCAAAGGACAAAAGGAATACAAATTAGCATAATTTATTTTAACAAAATAGACAATGTTTTTAAACCATTTACATTCGGTTGACAACTTTAAATGTTGTATGGTCAATCCCAATGCCCTTTAAAAAATATTTGGATAGCAACCACTTAAATCTCTTTTGTCTCTCTGATTCTCTTATAGCTATGGCCAAATATGTTTCAGATCATGCTGTAGATCCTACAGTAGAGGAGGAGAAGACATCTAGTCGCACCTAATCTACCCATATGTGTAGCTAAAACCTTTTTAAAAGCAACTCCATGCATGTGACATTGATCAGTGAACTGCTAACCTAATCCAAGAAACATTGCAAGTGTATCTTTGACAGTCATAAAGTACATTTGGTTTACCTTTATTTGTCTGCCAAGGATGTATATTGTACAACATGGTAATCAAAAGAGCTAAAAAATATTCAAAGAGGTGAGCTTGTTTTAAATTTCAGATGGATTTGTTTGCACATGGCAAAGCTACCTGATCACTACTACATTAAAATGGGTGCCACCACCTGCATCCCCAGTCCAACGGTTCACCTTGTTCTACTATGAACCTGCAGCCAACATCACAATACTAAGAAAGGGAGGTCAAAGAATCTATCATTTTTGCACCAAGTAAATCTGGTAATGTACATCATTGAACATTTCCAGGTTTACTGCCAGAGTCTCAGGGCCTTGAGTTAAAGGAGAACTATGAGGGGAGTGCTTTTCACTCATAGTTCTAATAGATCAGTGAAAAAAAGGTAAATGTAGAAAAAGAAAAAAAAATAATAAAATAAAAACATCAACAACCACAGAATACACATGCACACAGTGAGGACCCGTGTACACACTGTGGCAGTGCATGACAATGCCACAGTGCAGTTTGGCAACTTTTGCACCCAGGACTCTCAGCCAGAGGGGCTGAGAGGGTCCAGAATGTAAACCATTTTATAAAAGAGTTAAAAGAGTATGGGAACAATTTTAGGGACATTTACTTTTAATGTAAACAGATAGGGCAGAAATAATCTTTTAATGCATTGCTTATTTACTGTTTTGTTTGTGTTCATTTTCTGTTTCACAAGTGTGCACATTTTTTTTGCCCCACTCTCTTTGTTATTCATTACCTCCACACACTCTAGTCTTTTATACAAAATGGAAAAACGTGGAGATCATGTTGTGTTTTTGTGCTTTAAAAGAAATGCACTGTATTTTTTTTTTAAACTTAGTTTTGATAAAGTTACATAGGTATTGTTGGATTTTATAGTCTTTAGATTGTATGTTATTTTGAAACTATAGGGTTTGGGGAGTGTTTAGAGATTTCTCAAGTCTGTACATATTTACACTCCAGTTAAACATAAACATTTCTCATTTAAACTGACTCGGAGCACACAGAGATTGCCTGTTTAATGGCCCTGGTTGGCATTCATGTTCTGCAGCTAGCTGAATCCATATAGTTGCTAGTATCCTAATCTTCTTATTTTTTTTGCATGTATACACATTATACATTTATGGTGCTTCGGGGTGAACTCTGCTCTGTACTTTGAAAAGGCTTACAATAATGTGTATACATGCAAAAAAAATAAGAAGATTAGGATACTAGCAACTATATGGATTCAGCTAGCTGCAGAACATGAATGCCAACCAGGGCCATTAAACAGGCAATCTCTGTGTGCTCCGAGTCAGTTTAAATGAGAAATGTTTATGTTTGACTGGAGTGTAAATCTAGAACTAAATCTTAAGTAAAGAAGGAGGTGATGATCATATAATTTATTTCAAGTAAACTGGATTTAGTGCTATTTATTTGTTTACAGAAGCAAGAATGTTCTATTGAAGGTGTTATCTGTGAAATCGAAGAGCTTTCCTTGTACCAACTGGGCTAACCCTTTCAAAGATCAGTTGAACTCACAGAACTAGAAATGCAGAAAGAAAGACATTGTACTAGACATGTAAGCTGCGGAAAAATTCGGTTTGGATATTTAGTTATTCCGGGAATCGGATCCGAAATTTAATTCGGTTCGGGTTTTGGATTCGGGTGAAATCCAAGTTAGTTTCGGATGAGTTTACGAATATTCGTTGTGAATACCACAGAAAACCAAATACAGATATTAATACTAAAGCTGAATCTCCTAGACCCGAATGGCATTCGGATCCGAATTGCAATCGGGAGCTCCCAAATGCCATTCGGGTCTGGGAGCCTCAGCTTTAGTAATATATGTATATGGCTCCCAGACCCGAATGGCATTCGGGTCTAGGAGCCTCAGCTTTAGTATATGTATATAATGTATATGGCCGTAATAAAAATTTGTGTTCAAACTCATTCGGATGCATTCAATCGAAAAACACATCTGATTGACCAGAAAAGTCACATGTCCGATTCAGTCTCGTTTTTGAACTAAATTCGTACGGGATCCAAAATTCAGAAATGGAAATTCGGATTCGGACACATTCGGATGTATTGGGATTCAGACATTTGGATGTGTCCGAATTTCTGAAAATTTGTCCGAATTTTTATTCGGAAACTAAACGAATCACACATGTCTCCATTGTACAAAGTCCATTTTCATAATCTTATCTCTACCTTTCAGTTACAGTAGTTATGCAGAGCGTGTAAATATCACTGTTTAGTGTAATAAATAGTACAGTTATGCTATGCCATACAGGCTAAGACAAGCCCTGCAGGCTGAACAAGTAAATTCACTCGATTCTTCCATCCATGCTAAACAGTGGAAATCTCCACTGCTAGCCGTTGTAATTTGTGTTGATTTTTCGATCGAAGTTTACCATAAAAAAGTTGGTACACATTAATGTGAAATACTTTTTATATTATACATTAGAATTTTGCATGTCTTTTTTAGCTTAGTTTGAAAATGAAATTAGGGCATTCTCTGAGCTGCAATCACAAACTATCTCTGTCTTGCGAGGGTTGTAAAGTAATTAAAAAAACATACGATCTGCCCATCTTGGACAGGCAGATCGTACTTGTGATCATGCAAGCCCGCCCCCCTGAGAGCGGGCTTCCAATGACTGCAATGCTGAACAGGCAGTGTGCGCGTGCGCACACCGACCCGTTCGGCAGTTGTCTCTCGATCATGTTAAAAACTAGCCGAAAATCGTACGATTCTCGGCTAGTTTTCCAACATGCTCGACATACAAAAGTCGTGCGACCGTACAGTAGGAACGGTTGCACGCCTTCCATACACTGCACAATTCTCGTACAATCGCGGGATTTCCCGCGATTCTCGTACGAGAATCGTGCAGTGTATGGGCACCTTTGGAATCATCAGAGTGCTTGCCAATTGCCAACAACATAATTTGCACAACAGCAGAGAAACATTTTTGCAAAGTATTTTTTCATAATGGACTTACCAAATCCAAAAGCCTTTGAGCCGCCAATGCTTTGAGAAGCTTGTACGCTGGTGGATGTGTATAATCCAGTCACCATGAGGCCATCAAAGTAGGTGCTAGTTGAAATGGTTACTGTAAGGAAAGCAAAGTTTATTTAATCAGCTTTCTACAAAACAAAAACAATCATATAACAATTACTCTGGCACAATCAACATTTGTGGACAACATCTGCATATTTTTCAAAACATTTTATCATTTGCATTAGGCTACATTTAGATTTAGCAGGGATTGCAGATCAAATAGTTTTATAAATATGAGAGCACACTATAATTTTCTAGATGATTAGGATTTCAGTAACAAGGTGCAATTTATATTGGCCTATCACTACGAGGGACTGCCTCATTGGTCATTAAGCTTTTGTGGAAAGGACAAAATATCACAAGTAGTACTGAGCGCCCTTAAAATACATACATTCATAGAGACCTAAATAAATGGCAAAATTATGTTAAACATATGTTACCCATCTTTATGGGATAAAGTATAATGGAAAGTCTGATATACTTACCTTTCCTAAAGATAAATATACTCCAGGCTTCATCCAGTCCTACCCACATAACCAAAAGCTTAGGCATTTGGTCAAGTGAACTTTGCTAAAGGGGAGGATCAGATCTGAATCAGAGGCTTCTGATTCAGCACTGGAAAGAGCTTGGGGCAGAATTTTCTCCAGTAACCCTTGTGTTACCCTGTATACATTTATACTCCAGATCTATAGCTAAACGATTTAAAGTGTGTTTAAAGTCAAAGGTTTTTTACATTTTGGATAGATTGGTAAAGGATGTTTGTCAGGTTTTCAATAAAAGAGATTGGGGCCACCAACTGTCATCGGTGACAACAGTTTAACAGAGCATTTCACTCACTTTGGAGGGATTCCTGATGTGTCTACAAGACAGGAGGTGAAGGGAATTCTCTCCATTGGGACACAGATGGGAAAAACCTGAAAAGGGTTTTAATTCTCCCCTACTCTAACCAAAATGAAAAAAAAATGTTTTGGCTATAGATGAATTTTAACATAGCTTTATGTTGTATGTATACATGATTATAGCAAGAAAAACATTAACATTTAAAACAATAAATAAAACCTTAAATAAAATGGTTAAAAATCCCCTACTTGCCTTGACCCAGTTGGCAGGCAAAAAAACATGTTCTTTGTCAGCAAGTCTAATTGCTCCTGACCCTGCCTCTTCTTCTTCCTGTTTTATTACTGCTGCACAGCAGATTACAAGCAGCCAATATCAAGTCAAAAGCAAGTAAACCAGTTGCATTAACAAAATATAATTTTAATAATTTATAATGAATTCAAAGATGCAATAATCTGAGCCCTTTATATCTGCCTGGGGTTTAGCTTCAAGCAGGTAGATCCACAAGAAACAACAATGCATAAAGTGCAATGACACATGACCAGACATATTTCACTTTACTAAATCTGATCAGTGAAGGAATACTGCCTGTTATTAAAGTGACATTAAAGTCACATATTTTTTCCTTCCCCCCATGCTGCTTTAAGGACTCACCTTAAATGTTGCCTCTTGATCCGATCATCTTCTTCCTTCCACTTGTATTCAGCGCTGGTGCCGTTCTCTGATCCAGCGCAGACTCCACGTGTCCCACAGTGTCTGTCCAATGTGCACGCTCCCAGCTGCGTGCATTCACCTCCATTGTGTCACCTCCACTGTGTCTCTCGCATGTGCCTGCACTCATCGTCTTGCACGGCTGCTCAAGAATCTTCGGACAGGAGCGAGCGGCGGAGACACAGGCAAGTTTTTACCTTTTTGGTAACTTTTTAATTTGTTCAAATGTTTTTGCATATATCTACTGCTTGCTAGTCGTAGATATATGCAAAAAAAAAGATAAGGAGAGTTTAATTCTACTTAAATTTTGAGCTAATAAATGGAGGTTTGAATCACATCCCCAGAAACAATAACTGAAATATAGTTCATATTTCCAGCTTAGAACTTTAACATTTCTTTTAGTTAACTAATTATTTGGGTCACATCTGAACTAATAGCTCCTGACTCCTGCCCAGACTGTCCCAATAAACCAGCAATATAGGTCTATGAAAACATATTAACTGAAATCATCACTCACTGAAAGTAGAATAAAAGAGTTCAATATTTAATTGTTCATAGTGATTTAATTACACTGTTTACCAGCTACCCAACAATAAAGAACAAGGCTTCTGAAACTGAATATTCCCATAGAACATAATGAAATTTGTCAGGAGTTGATTTGGCAAAATCATTCTACTATAACACCAGAAAAAAAATAAAGGTCCTAAGGGTTAATAAACAAGCTAAATCAGGCATAAAAGACATGATTTGGAAGCTTAGTCATAACTGCTAATTTCAACTTTGATAAATGCAGTTTGACTGACAGTAATTCTGCTAGCCTTTTGCACATTTGCATGAATTCAGTTTCTTGGTTGTTCTCATTTTTTAAAGCCTAATTGAACTTTCGATTTAAATCAGCTAAGTATATTCCAGGTGAATCAAAACAAAAGGTGTGCAACGTCTCACAGTTAATTTTCTTTAGAAAGCAGCCATAGTCTGTCCCCTGCCAGCATGCTATTGAGGAGGACCTTTGTTTTCTGTGTGAAAGTGGTGCTTTCTGTAGAGGTCTGACACACCCCCTGTTACAGGTCAGACTCAGTAGGGGGCGTGTTGGGCCTCTGCAGAAAGATCACTGCTTCCACACAGAGAACAGGTGTCCTTCTCTGCAGCATGCTGCCAGCAGACAGGCTTTTCTACTCAGACTGTGTCTGCTTGCTAAAGGATACAAATTAGACTATGCACACCTTTTGTTTTAATGCACCAGGAATGTATTTAGCCTATTGAAACTGAAAGTTTACAAGTTACAACCTAAAGCCATTTTATTGCATTGACACAACACACAAATAAACTGTGTATGTATTTATATTATAAAACAGATCACATTCATGTCATTGTTGAAACCATTGATGAACCATCCAAAAAACAGTCCAGTCTGTTTCCTACATACTTTGTTATTGAAACTTTTCATTTATTACTTCTTTTAATAAAAAAAAAAAAATACAATTCATATTGTTGCTAAATTTTTAAAATTAAAATTTTTAGAATTACCGTAGTAGCTTGATAAATCATGCACGCCCTTTGGTAACAGTTACAATGAAATCTGCAAAGGCATCACTAGGCTTTGTAAGATTTGTATGTTTCAGGAGACAAAGTATAATTTGAAACCAAAATCTTAGGCAAAACCTGAGAAAAGGCTTAACATGAAGGCTTATGATGGAAATACATGGGTATGTTTGTTTTACTATGTTCCTCAGTGCAGGGAAGCTTATCTTTCATGTTTGTAGAAATACCTGTGTGACCCTTTCAGAGTCTCACATTTTGTTAACACAATCTGAAGGCTCTTGACCTAAGGAAGTCAGATTTCACTGATACATTATGTATATTTACTGTGTGCAGAGTTGATGTAGAAAAAAAAATCTCCTGTATAAATATACTCTGTTTGCCACCAGTCAATAGACCGAGAACTATGCATAAATTATATAACTGCATTACACTACTCTGCCAGTTCTTTGAGAACTATACAATGAAAAATAAACAGATAATACCAAAATGTGTAATTACTATGCAATAACAATGGCACAATTCATAAAATAGTATCTAATTGCCTTCAAGAACCAGGCTATACAAAAAAAATAACTATATTATACATTATATACACCAATTATTATTTTAAACTATAATATTTAAATTATTTCAATACAACTTGGTAGCCTACTGATGGCACCCTCTTTGGCCTCCTTTTGCTAGTCTTTGCCGTTTTAATGTTTAGATTTGACCCCCCCAACAACAATTAAGGCAACTTACAAACCCCATCCAAGTGGGTTTCCACTGACTTTAGTAAGCCTTTAACATATTCAGCAAGGTAAGGGAAAACTCCCTTGCAAGAGGAATACCCTGTTTGCTTTGGTAAATCAACCCCCTTGCCTTTGTATCTGTTCCATGATGAGTTGAATGGCATGGTTAGAGATCTACAATTTAGCATACAGTTGATTGCAGGGAGAAAGTAGAAACTGTTTAAGTGGTTTATACCCAAAACCTCTGGAATAAACACCTACATTATACTAGATTTTACCTTTGCAATGTGTTCAAGTCCATCCCCACAACATAATTTAAATGTGTCCCCAGGAATGTTATTTAGCCCAGTATTCTTGAGGATAGATTATTTTACACTCATATTAGAGCATATATATATACACATGGAGCATACATTAAACACGTATTATTAAACAGAAATGCATATCTTTTGTCACTCAGTATACTTCGGGTTCAAACTGGATGTTGACTGGATAGTGGGAGAAAACTAGTTTATGGTTTCTGAATTTAGTATGTTACCTACGCACTCTATGCGGGTCTTTTTTGATCGGGAACTGAGTGATCACATACCACTTATCGCTGAATTGCCGATCTTCTCCCTACAGAGAGTGGTGACTGTCAGTCCGCCCTCCCCTCTCTCTGTTCCTCCAGTGCTGACAGGAGGAATGGATGGGCAAGGGGGTGGGCAGGGAAGGGGGAGTGAATCCTGACAATATTGCAATAGCCTTCTATATGCTGAGTTTTGTGTCACAGGAGGACATTTACTATGTCCTCCTGTGACCCAAAAGAGAACTATGGCCAAAAAAGGGTTGGGCCATAGTTCTCTTTTAAAGGAAACACAGAAGGACACCAATGCAGATTATACATTATTTGACTTTCAAAAATGTATTTGTTGTCTACCTGATATAATGTCCATGTGGATTTTGTTATATAGGTAAGACAACACAGAAGCCTAAAGCTGAGCTCCACTCACCACTACAAAATGGATATGTAGTCCACTCCCCCGTTTCCAGCACAGTCCCAAACGGTGAACTACATTAAAAGATAATATTATCAAGGATACTTTGAGACTGAGAGCTGTAACTTCAAATTGTTATTGTCTACATATTGGAATTTTGCACTGATAACTGTTGACACCAACGTTACTGACATAACAGGTGTGTGATTCTTCAGTACACTCGGGTATTTCAGAAAATGTTTCGGGCTGCTGCT